AGCAAAAGTATAAACATCTCTTGATGTCAGAAAATATCTAGTCAAAACAACCATTAGATATTATAATAAAATGTAATATTACATTTATAAAATGTGTATTTATATTTTTGTCTCGATTGTGCCACACTTTATTCGTTGTATTTTATTATTTTAATATTTTTCTTTTCTTTATTAGGGATAGCAATTAATATCAGCTATGCTGTCTGCTATTCCCTTTTTGTAGTATTATACTATTTTGTTCGATAAAATTTATGTATTTAATGCAAATTTACCTGTAATACTGCAAATAAATTATTATTATTATTATTAAATACACCTATGGTTAGGTTAGATAGATATTAAGATCTATCTCCAAATCCTAACACTCCAAAACCTAACACTCCAAAACCTAATAAGTATTATCTACTAAATTCCTTATTCTTAGAGCCAGTCACAAAAAATGAGATGAAAGCCGTATAAACTCATTAAAAAACAAAAAATCACTGGGGATAAATCTAAAACAATTAAAATTCTAGCTCCTATGGTTAGGTTAGATAGATCTTAATATCTATCTAACCTAACCATAGGTGTATTTCAAATACATAATTGAATATATTATTGTATTTTTTTCATAGGGAAATACACCTATGGTTAGGTTAGATAGATCTTAATATCTATCTATCCTAACCATAAATATATCCTTAGAATGGGAACATTTTTGTCTTGTTTTGTATGCCACAGTCAACTACCCGTTTCATATAAAAAATACAACTTTATGCTACAACTCGAATTTGGAGAATTTTTTAAAAAAAATTGACTGCGCCACTGGATTCTTATCAAGAAAGTGGCCGAAAAAGGTATAAATTATTTTCTTCCACTTTCATAATGCCACATAATGAAAATTTGAAAAACCCGAAAATAAAATACAATTTTTGAAAATGTCATTAAGAGATCAATTTTCCATACAATTTATAATTAAGGAGATTCTCTATTAAAACATCGAAGTTTGCTCACTCGGGAGAAATGCATGAATATATTAATTGTAAGATTTTTAAGTTAGTCAATTAGTTCCGCTTAAGAAGAAGCTCAAAACATAAACAATGACTGGGACAAAGTGATACATGGGGATAACCATAAGAAATAATAATTATGATAATGAAAAAAGAAATTAAATAATGTAACCGTTTTACTAAAATTTGCATCTATTAAAAAATCCATCCGTAATCCTTCCAAACACGCGCGTCTTCCAAATCCCCCAAAATGTGATCTCGGATAATTTAGTTTTGATTCTCAACGGCTACTGGTATTGAATTTTTTTTTTTCAAGATATTTCTGATCCGGCCATAACTTACACGTCGTATAGAATCACCTCTGAAGAAACACCGACTACGAATATAATTTCGATGATTTGTTAAGTTGGTTTTTTTCCGAACACCAGCCCGGCTACTGGAAACAAATTGGGATGCAAATTACCGAATTTACGTCAAGCCGTCGTGATAAATGCGTTATTTGGATTTAAAATTAGAGATATTTCCACTCCAGGTGTATCACGGGTCGCGTATAGGTTACAAAAGCGTTTTTCTATCTTGGGGAGCGTTAATTTTTGTTGTGTTTCTCAGGTATATTCTCCATTTAATACGGTCGCATAAAGATTTGCGATGAAAAAGGCATCGTTGAGCTTGGGTTTTAATTAATTAATTGTGAGTTTTGCGAAAAAAATACAGGGTCCGCTAGTCGAGTGAAAAATAAATCTTTTGACATTTGGGCATGGTGGTTTTTATGTATTGACATAATTTACTTCTCTAGAGTATAGGGTTCTTAAAACAGCAAATAAATAAGAACAGCTGTCTTTAAGGTTAAAAGAAGAATATAAGTTGAATTAAAAATAAAATAAAACGTGCTAAAAATTGATTATGTTGCGATAGACTATAGGAAAAACCAACTTCCATTTAAAAACGAGAGAAAACGGTACTAAAATTAATCAGTTATTAAGTTAAATCCACTAGAGTTTCGCCAATAAATATACATCAACAAAGTTGTCAACGGCGATGATTTAATAAAGATAATAATAATAATGAAAGCATGTATTGTCCAAAAATTTCCAATTTCTACAAAACAATAATATAAAAAAATACTGATTTAGACACAATCAACGCCAAAATATTCAAATTTGTAAAAGTTTTAACAACTCTGACAACTCTTTCTTTGACAACTCTTTCTTTGACAATTTCTTTCTTTGACAATTTCTTTCTTTGACAACTCTTTCTTTGACAATTGTTTCTTTGACAATTCTTTCTTTGACAATTCTTTCTTTAACAACTCTTTCTTTAACAACTCTTTCTTTAACAACTCTTTCTTTAACAACTCTTTCTTTAACAACTCTTTCTTTAACAACTCTTTCTTTGCAACTCTTTGACATGGCTTCTACAGGAGAAAAAATTGGTGTCACTTTTTTAATCGCATGTCATATTATTCATTCTCATTGATATCAACAAATTAATTCTGATTATAAAAATATAGAAACACAAAAGATATTAAAAGACTTCTAAATGAAATATGAATTGAATTATTTTGAACAATTTTAAGAACATATCTATTTTAGTTTTACATTACTACCTACATAACGAAAATCCTGATAAAATTAAATAGGTTTCTTTTCGTGTTCCACGTAGTATGTAAGCATAATAGAAAAGCTGAAAGTATCGGTTATAAGGAAGCCCGTTTTAGTCAACGGTGTGGTGTCATTTCATTTCGTCTGCACTTTAGGGCTTTGCAACTGCTTATGCAACACATACATTGTGTTTGTGTGCTGTGACCCCATAAAAATATCTATGGATCAGTCATCGCCCTATTGTTTAGCCAAGGATTTTAATATATAGATACAATTAACAATTTTTTATTATATTGAGACTTATTGATTAATATTTGTTACATATTCAAGTAATTTAAATAGTAATACTTCTAAAAGTATAAGTAAAACTCAGGAAGAAGATATTGTACGTTTAAAATTATTAAGAAAATTTCTAAAAACTTTGAGTGTATTTTAGTTTAGTGTCACATTAAAGATTTACTTTTAAAAGTAATTTTAGAAGAATTTCTACAGATCATTGACTTTAACAAGTAAAGAGTCAGAAAAACAAGAAACGGATTATAGAAAATTGCATATATTGCAACCTAGTATACAAATTTTTGAATACAAAATGATGGGACACAGGCATTAGAAAATATATCAAACGACAGTAGTTATATATGTTTTGTTTACGTTTCAATTCACCCAACATGGCTATTAATTTAAAAAAATAACATTACCAGCATATCGTCCCCCCTAAACATTAAAAATCTACAAAGAAGGAACTTTGTTTGCTTTGCAAAGTAGCCGTTAGCCGTAAGTCTCACACTTTCTATTGGGATAACCCTCGGGATATACAACCACGGCAAATTTGGCTCAGGCGTTAGTGGGCGCGAAAAACAAACACGGACGCACGACCGATAATATGCTAATCTGTTAGGCGGTAATTGAAAATAAACCATAGACCTTCGAGAGAAATTCACAACTTTATTTGGTAAGTCAAGCGTAGTGTATGGAAAAAATGGGTAGAGAAAGAAAATATTGATTATGGTTAGTTTTTTTGGTAATTTCAAAAGTTTGTAGATAAGTGCATAAAATTGTGATTGCAGGATTTTCTTACTACTGAAAAATTAACCCAAATAAAGTAAAATTAAGCATAATAAACCAAAATAAAGTATAATAAATACAAAATAAAGCATAATAAAGCAAAATATAGCATGATAAAGCATAATAAATACAAAATAAAGCATAATAAATACAAAATAAAGCATAATAAATACAAAATAAAGCATAACAAAGCAAAATTAAACATAATAAACCAAAATCAAGCAAAACAAAGCATAATAAATAGAAAATAAAGCATAATAAACCAAAATATAGCATAATAAATACAAAATAAAGCAAAATAAACTAAAATCAAGCATAATAAATACAAAATAAAGCAAAATTAAACATAATAAACCAAAATCAAGCAAAACAAAGCATAATAAAGAGAAAATAAAGCATAATAAACCAAAATATAGCAAAATAAACTATCTCACTCGTGGTGGCCCAACTAATTGAAGTTAGTTAATGAGTATTTAGAAGAGTCCTGTACTGAGTATAGGTGTCTCCAGACATAGTTTTCAAAGGGAGATCATTGCTAATAACAATTCCCTCATGGATTATAAAAAATGTAATCGCGGTGGGGCGCATGTCCCCTACGCCCCTCTCCTGGAGCTACAAAACACTCATATACTCTTCGCCATTGCTAAAGTACAAATTAAATCCAAAAACGGCAATCCCGTAACAGTTAGAAAGCTTTTGGATAATGGTTGTCAAACTTTCTTTATTACAAAAAAGTAACGTAGCAATATTATTTGAAAAACTTAGCTGACGATACTTTTTGATAACTTTAGGCAGATGCGGACATTTACTATGCTCTTTTAAAGGATGGTGGGGTCTATTCTGTAACAATTCCTTTATATTTAACGGCCTTTAAAAATATTGGCGGCCTTTAAAAGTATATTTGTATTCGTTAATTTACTTCTATTATTATTTAAACAGATTTCTTTAAGATAGTCCTCTAATGTATTTTAAAGATCCGTTTAAATAGTGACCGAATTGAAGAAGAAAATATTTTTAAAGGCCGTTAAATATAAAGGAATTTTTACAGAATAGACCCCGGTGTCAGGAATCTTTATTTTCTAATATAATTTTTTTAGATGTTTTCCCCCAATCAACTTCGTTAAAGCTTCATTCTTAACTACATATTTATAAAGATTTATTTTTATTTATTTATTTTGTTAAATCTAATGAATATAACTTTTGATATCGGGACTATCGATAACTATATAAGTTAATGCGCTGGTCCTTTTGGATTAATGATATTAAGACGTGGCTCGTATATTAAATCAAGTACCGAATTATATTACTAACTAAAAATGTAAAAAATTAATTTCCAAATAAATACCTTGCGGAAATGGCACCGGCTCTAGCGGATGTGTCAACCCAAACGGTCCCAGACCCGGCATAGACATCCCAGTCAATCCCGAACCGAGACTGGGATGCGACGGGAAGTGGCTGTGGGGTCCGGTGGGAGTCTTTAGGTATCCAGCCATGTTCATGTGGGAGAACAGACTGCCCGCCCCCACGCCGTACCCGCTGGTATCTTCTCCTGGTAGGGGAGTCGTCTTGATGCTGGATATTTTCACTGAAACAATTAGAAAATTTCATCAATATAAGCACTTAGCGTCCAACAATATCTATACAAAAAGTTGTAATATATTATTTTGGTTTCAAGAATACATCGGAACGTTTGAAGGCTTAAATTTGAATACCCAACCGTTTCAGACAAAATTCACTCGGCAAAGGTAATCCTACAGTATTTTACCGACGTCCTAGTGACAAAATACAAGCATTAGCAGTTTCTAATCTATACCAGGAAGAGGTAGCCGTGCGTAAATTTCAACAAGTGCCCCTAATCCAAATAAACACCAGTTTTGGGAAAACAGAAGTAATGTTATCTTTGGTACGTGTACCAGGTACCTAGACAACGGCGGTTATTGCAAAAATGGTTACAGGGATCAAAAAAAGGAAGGGCTTTGTTGTTTTGTAATATTACCTATAGGGTTCTTTGCTCCTTGTCTCTTATTCTTCTTTTTTCAAAGAGTTAACAATTTGAAAAGTATCTTCTATTACTATAAAAGTTTATCTACATATTTTTATATTGCTTAACGTACAACTCTTGTTTCTAATATTCAACTAGTTTTCAATATAGTTAGAAAGATACAGAACCAATCTATAAAATAAAGTACACTATATTATGATAAAACAGCGGCCATTATTGTATAACTACTGTGTTCAAAGGCATTAGAATAATATATACAAATACCAAGAAATGGAATTCATTTACATGAGTAGGAAATTAGTATTCCTTGCAAGTTGAACAATATGCTTTTTCTATGGCTATAGAACGGTTGCTACCAGTGTTGCCAGAGTATTTCTTTGTTATGTACAGTGGTGCCAGTCTAGTACAATTGTACTAGATCTAGTACCTTTTCTATAAATCTGATACACTCGAAGCAAAATCCAGTACCTTTTTCAGCGTGTAAAATATATTGTTGGGATCTTGCTCCTAGTTTTGTTTTCGTTTGTGAACCTAACCACATCACAATTCATTCGAAAATTTGGTACATTTTACAGAATCTAGTACATTTTTTTAGACAAATCTGGTACATAACCAGTGTTGCCAGAATATATTTTTGTTGCGTACCAGATTTGTCTAAAAAATGTACAGGATTGCATAAAAATGTACTAGATTCTCTAAAATGTATCTAATTTTTTATTTTTGGATGAACTGTCATGTGATTTTGTTTATTAAAAAAAAAAAGGGATTTTAGCGAACGAAAACCTAACAAGGAGTAAGATCCCAACAATATATTTTACACGCGTACAAATGGTGACACGCTGAAAAGAAAAAGGTACTAGATTTTTCTTCGAGTGTACCAGATTCTTTGAAAATGTACTAGATTCTCTAAAATGTATCTAATTTTTGAATGAACTGTCATGTCATTTTGAAAAATGGATATAGCAATGGAAAACTATAACAATAAACCTCAGAAAAGACGATGATACTGATAGCACTAGTTATAGTGAAGACAGAGACTTTTAAAGATACTATTATTTTCATTAAATTTTGTTATTTATTCTTAATACATTTCTACCTACCCTGTATATAATGAATGTTTTTTTCTTTGAATCAACGGTATAAGTAAAAGAAACCAAATACGACTACCTATACTTAAAAATAAATTCATATTGTCATCATATTTCACTGTCAGATTCATATTTACAAAAATTTTCCTTCAATAGACAGGCTTTTCCAACTTAATTAAAATAGAAAACCGTTAATATCAACAATTAACACTATTCTTACCCATTAATTAATCGTTCTCTTATTAATAAGACTTTTCAATTGATTTGGTACATCATAAATGTACGTTTTGTTATGATTTTCAAAATTACAATTAAATATGATTATTATAAAGATGATTCTATTTGTTCTAACTTTAAATACATTAAATTTAATAATCAAGCAATTAATGGCATCTTATTCATAGACATCGTTTACAAAAAACAATGAAGTATAAAATATACAATAGAAGAAATAAGAAAATTTCATCTGAAACCATCAGAAAGTAATTATAAATAAAAAATAGTTTACCTTTTGAAAAATAAGTCCTTTATGATAACACCTACAATCACTGTCCACAGTTCATTTTCTACTTCTTTATCTCTCCCAACAAAAACACTAAACACAATACAATCCGAAAGATATTGAAATCCGAAACAGAAATCCTTCAAAAACTATATCGACCTGTTCATCCGAATAGATATTAGTAAACTGACTATTTCTATGTTTGTAGGTAACAGGACACCACTCTGATGCTGTTGAAGGGCTCTCTCTTTCTCTCTCCCCAGAGGGTAGTTAAAGGTAGTGGGGTAGGGTGGTACAGTTATTGGCAATTGTTTATGAATATCCTGGGCGTGAGACTATGCAGTTTTTAACTTATTCGCTTTTTACCTGAGCCTATAGGATACAATTTTACCTACTGGTTTTGAGGATTTGTAAGTTAATCATTTCGAGTTTTTCAAGGCTCGTGGTGTAGTATCATGGCTAAAAATCGAGATTACGATGCAGTGCGTTTTTAAGCCGCTCAATTTTGCATTACAATAATAAGGATTAAAGTTTAACTAGCGAAATAATTACAGATTAACTTCTTAATAGGTAAACATGGACTTATCTTTTGATCTGTAGACTTTTCATTAAGACTATTATTTAAAATAATGAGGCTGTTAGTACGTTTTGATATATTACTTGCTTTGGGTAATAAATCGTATCCTGTCGTGGAGTTCGTTTTATTGTTAAAATTGTATTTTATGCCAGCATTGTTTAAATTGATGAATGAAATATTCAGGACGTCTTGAAGTAAAGTATAAACACTGAACTGTAAGTGATTTTTCTTGATATATTATCATATTTTGCAATGCATATCTACCAGATAGGCAACTATTACTAATAATTAATTAAATCATTAGGTATCTACTCAGAGCCGTAGCAACCGTATGTGCAGGGGGGTGAAAACTTTTTGAATTATACTTAATAATAATATTAATAACGATTTTATTGATACAGGCCTTTACAAACAATTAAAATACATCACTTAAAAGATGAGAAATACAAGGTATCCCGTATAGCAACAAGCAAAGAAAAAAAATGAAATAGAAGAAATGCGTTCTTCCACTTAACTTCACTCGAATTTTCTAAAATAATGAAAAAATCAAACGTGGTGCTTCTATACTCTGTAGCGAAAACTTCAGTGTTTTGTTTTTTTTGCAGACTATATAACACTAACCAGTGGCGGCTCGTGGGCACTAGTGAAATTTTTATTTCATCCCCCACATTTGATGAAACTTGTTTGTAGTATTCCCTAGTGGATGGAGAGTATGGTGAGTTTTCTTTTTTACTATTTTATATATCGTTAGGTCAAAGTTAACACACCTTACACCACATATTCTCATTTCCACTAGGCGAGCCTGAAGATGAAGTGATGATACTTCGAAACCGGTCGCACTCAATGTTTTACTGAATAATTAAACATTAACTTTCCTTGTGAGATATAAAGGACTTTTTCTAAATCTTCACCTTAAAATTACCTCAACTCACGCATGGCTACCCCCCTTGTCAATAAGTATTTGTATTCACAAACTCTTTCCGTACACGTTGACGATTCCGCTGATATCAAACTCAATAGATATGAACAGACTAGTCGCGACAAATCAGCGACATGACGCCGTCCTGTTCAGCTAAGCGGATTCAAGAAAACCATTCCCATTTAAATTCTCTGGTTGGATAAAATCGTCAAAACGCGACTGTCGACGGACTGTCCGCTCACCGCGACGGAGTGTTCAAAGAAACCAAAGCTTTAGGAAAACAAGTTCTCCGCTTAATAAAAATTAAATATATTTCAAAACAAATTAAATATTACAAAATTGAAGACTAATTGCTAGGTACCGCTGCAGATGTATACTACTGCTTATAGTTGATTAAGTGTAAAGGTTAAAGAAAAAGTCCTTTATTTCTCACAAAGTCAATTTATTGGCGACCGGTTTCGAAGTTGTCACTTCATCATCAGGCACACCTAAATGGAATATCAAGGAGTCAGTTGTAATAAAAACAATTATAAAAGCATGAACGGACTTTAACATATACAAAATAACAGAAAAAACACAAAAGAAAGTTAAACAATAACCTTGACTCACCTTGACTAATTCCATAAAGGAAGCGCTACAAAAAGTTTAACAGAACGAGTTAAAAAGTCATGTGTAATAAGTATTTTTTTTTTTTTTTTTTCAATCGTGTAGGAGCATTTTAAAATATACGACTCTGAAGAAAAGGTGTTTGGCAATTTAAAATCTCCCAGTGAAAAATTTCTCTTTTTTATTTTCAAATTAGAAAAAATATTGATATCTCTCTTTGATAGTTTGTCAATTAAGCCCGGAATTTCCAACGTATACCTTTTTGAGATGAGCAAAATAGAATTTGGTCATCCTTGCCAACAATTTGCGAAAATGTACACCATTAAATTATTTATAAGACTCACAATATTGTATATTCTTAAATATGCAAACAGAGATTTGAAATCCTCGAAAAAGTCAGACAAAACCAAAAGAAAAATTAAAATTTTGTCCCATTTATAAATATTATTGATTTTTTTTTCATCATATTTTTGACTGCTTTATAAAAAAAGTTATTTTTCTTTGTAGTTTTATTTCCTAACTATTCCTATGGTTCAACTAACGTTTTTTTCGTAATTACAATAAATAAATTATTATCATGGTCCAACAAACGCGCACCTTAAGCCGAAACCGGCATCGCCATTGTGAGGGAGCCGGTAAAGATGCCGCTGCCTACATTTGTATCTGGTCTAGATAATCTGTGCCATGGGTTTTTTTTTAGTTTATTATCGATTTTTTCTTAGGTATTTACATTTTCTAGGACATTTTATTTTCATATTTCCCTGCTATAGGAGTTTTCCTCCTTTTCAGGGTGCTATGGGTACAGCACGTCACGATAAGGACAGCGCCCCGCTTGTGACGTATAATCCATCGCATGTGTTCATCTCTTGCTAAGCGATATTGTCGTTGTCTTTGTTTTTCGCATCATAATGAGAGAGAAAACAACAGAGGCACACATTTACTGTACCATCTTCCACTTAATTTCGGAATTTTCGGAACGTCGCTCAACGCCCGGTCGTCCAGTGTCGTGCCAACGTTTGCGCTGAATATTAGATAAAATAATAATAGGCATTGAAGAAAATATAAAATATGTAAGTTATTTTTTTTTTGTTTTTTGTTTATTATACTAGGACACGTGCCCTTACGGGCGAACCGTTACTGACACTAACACTGCAAAGGTCCGATTGACTAATGAAAATGGCTATAATGATTGACAACATTTGAGTGAACATACATATTTACAAAAAAAAGGTAAATCATATGCAGACATGGTTATACTTTTTAACTAGATTTAAAAAAAAATACGATTGATCTAACTCATAAATATTTGAAATAAAATGAATTTAGCTCAAAGCCAGAATATCACATAAAATACAACGACCGTTTCCCTTCAAAAAAACAACTACTCCTTTGGCTAATACCACAACAGGCATTGAATTACATCCGAAGGAAAAACAGCAGAGATAGACATTAATTTTCAACACTCTCTACTTTGATTTTGCTCACCAAGGAGAACATCATTCTTGGACCGGTTTCGTCCTTATTAGGACTCCTCAGCAAGAAATAGATAGGTTCTCAATTCCAGTCTCTATTCTGGCTTTGAGCTAAATTCATTTTATTTCATTTTACATCTATCACATTTGAGTTTTGGTTTATTTTCGTTTTCATAAATATTTGTTTAATGCTGAAATTAAATATTGGCATACAGTTATTGACAGTGGCGTAGCCAGGAAATTGTGTTTCTGAGAGAAATATTTCAGATAAGATTTTTATTAAAAAAGTAATTGTAATTTCGATAAGTAGAAGTGCTGGGTCCTCACCTTCAGAGGCCGTTACTAATCATCTGAGCTGAGGAGCGGGGGGGGGGAGGGTTTATGGTGGATCTGTTATTGTGAATTGTAATCGTTAAAAAAGTAAAACAAATGTTTATTCTAAAAAGCCCAATACTAAATTATTCTAATATTTTTAAAAATAATTTTTAATATACATAACTAAGCAAATAATGTAAAATAAATTTATCCACAGATTTTGGTGTCGAAAATATGTTAATTTAAGGTAACTTGGTTTTATAAAAACCGTTAAAGTAAATTTTATAAGTGATTTTGTGCTCGGACTCTAAAATGACAACATATTTTTATAAAAATGTACATGGGATGTTAGTATACAGTGTACAGTATAAAATAAAGTTAGTAATATTTAAATTTGTTGTATTTGTATAGGTTATAGTATTTGTTTGTGAAAGGGTTAATTACTGAGTTACAGGCTTAAGAAGGAAAGTCATAGTGATAAATTATTCTGTTGATCTTAACATAAAACACATTTATTGCTTTTTTTTTCAATCATAGTTTAAACCAAGTTCAGTAAATGAACCAGATTCAGTTGCAAGATGGTGTATTTTAAATCTGGTTCGAATCTGAACTTAACTAAAACTAGGTACCCGAAAAATAGAATGATTAAAGTTAGGTGTTTAAAGTAAGATCAACGTTTTGACATCGATATAATTTAATTTAATTTTATATCTACACATGTGTATAGGACCTACTCTGTAATTTCACTCGCAGGCGAGACGGAAGAGGGGGTTGCTGGGGGGACAAATTCCCGGGGCCCGGCACTTTTAGCAAAGAACGTTTTTTTAGAAGTTCGCCTAATGACTCTGAGGGAGGAGAGGCTACCTCTCCCTAGTTATCCCTAAAAAAATCTTACACTACAAACACCAACACAAATGTTGAACTTTATTATTAAAAATAGTCTCATACTTTTCCAATTTTGTCAAAAAAATGCCTGTATCGGTTGCTTCAGCAAAAAGAACTTTCTCAAAGTTAAAGTTTCATTAAAAACTATTTAAGATCATCAATGGGCTAACAGCGGCTCAATAATTTGGCAGTAATATCGATAAAAAATTATTTATTTGATAAATATGACTGATCTTATGTCTGAATTTTCCAGAAAAAATACGTGTGTAAAGTTACTTTTATTTATTATTTTTTTTGTAATAAAATCGTTACCCTCCTCTATTGTCCATACTCCTTTTTTTCTAGTTGTGCTTGTTAAATTATTGATTTTTAGTATCTTTACACCATTTAATAAAAGAAAAGATTCTACCTTTAAAAAGAAAAGGAAATGTTTGACCCCTTGCGATAATATAATAATAATATATTTCTTAAAAACACTCGCCTCA